TGTTAAGAGAACATTAAGAAAAGTTAAGTGTAAGCAAGAACAAGTTTATTCAGACCAACAAATGACCTCATTCGGGTTAACAGGTTACCCTTGAATATTTCCAAACCAACATACTGGTTTGAAGGTGACATAACAAGGGCCAGCAATGCACGAAGACCAATAATCTTTGCTTCACTTGGACTATCTTGCTTTAACAGTTCTAGTAACATGTGATTCATCGCGAAGTCAAGGTTATGTTCAGCTATGGTCACACAGAACTCAACGAGTTTATCTTGTTGGACATCCTGAGTGAACAGTCCTTTTCTAAGAACTGTTAGCAATTGTGATGTCACACTATCCAAGTAATCCCATATGCGATTTGGTGGCTGAGTAGCAGCATAGACACCCAAATAAAACCTCATCAACCGGTGAAGACAATCAAGTGCCATGTAACGATGATTCTTCTCCTGCATAATGTGCAGCAGGTAGTATAATGTGAAACCAAGATATATATACTACCGAGAACAGGCTTGAGGAAGGAAATAAAGTTACAGGTCCTGAACTACTTTAAAATAGAAGCTGCTGTAATTATAACTGCACACATCAGAGTGTGCGGACGTGACAATTGCTCTCGGACATTCTTACTTTATTTAAAAGCTGAGTGCAGGGAAACTTACTCTCAGAAGCTTGTACAATTGCTCCATGAGAGAACTTAAATTTTGATGGAATATAAGCGGGTCTCCGAGACAGAGGAGAAGAGTCACAAGCGGATAGCCAACCTATTCGCCCAATTAGACATGTTAAGGACTGAAATCACAAAAACATGACAAAGTGATATTAAATCAGACTGACGTACACCAAGATGTTTGTTTTGTTTATCCATCCAATGGATTAGCTTCAATCTAATGCGTCCAACAGCCTCATACCAGAGTGTCAGCGCAGGCTCTGCAACTGAAGGAGGCCACTGGCTCTTGCCACCATCGGAAAGTGGTGACAGGATGTTACAAAGCATATTACAAAGCGCATGATGAAGCTCACTTTTACGTTTGTGTGGAGCACGATTAAGAGGGTTTGCTTTAGCTACAAAGGAGGCAGACGCATTTAGCCCACCTTCACTCGTAACCTGGAAATAAACATAATGTCACGTTCGCCTCCTGAAGCCTGCATTTTTTCATAATGAAGAGACATACCCCAAGCTTTAAGTATCGCATTCCATTAATGATGCTAAGAGTTTCACTTCTTGCAACACTAGTGTCAATCCGGCGGGTATTGAGTTCCATGAAAAAACGCTCAGTGACAGAGCTGAATCTGTTAGTAAAAAATTATAGTAATAAAAGGATTAGAGTGGTTGAGGTTGCGGCTTAAAAACTGAATCACCGCTTTCACAAGTTGTTTCCTGCAACCTAAACTTGTGAAAGTAAGTCCATTTTTTCATTTATACTTTAGCATGCTTGGATAAGCGTTAACAGTAAACATTACAAATAAAATACCTAATACGGGATAGTGCACCCAAGAGTTGAGCAACCAAGTCAAGAAGAAGACCCCTCAAATCGACCAGTGACGGGTATTCTACCTGGCTAACAATCCTGAAACAGAGGAGCAACCAGAGGCAAAACTTAAGAAAATTAGCTTTTGACATCTCGAAAAATGCACGCCAAAGTATGAAAGCATACTACTGATTCACAAAATAAATTTGAACAGCTCCACATTCTGAAATCACTACCTGTCGGCGTTAATTAACCAATCAAAAACAAAATTCTCAAGTCCAGACCATAGCTCCTCTGCCATTCACGCAAAATAATTTTTTCCTCTTTAGCAAGGCAATATACACATTTTGTTTTAAAGAAACTGAATAAGAGAAACTAACAAACCGTTGAGCCCTTCCTGCGGGCAACACTCCGCAAAGCGAATACAAGCTGAGCAGAAGATGCACTCAACAGCCAGCTGATTCCAGTACCGTAAAAACGATATATCAGAAAAAGGAAAACCGAATTCAAAAACTCATTAGTTAAAGTCAGGTCTACAACAGTCAACAGTCTTGGTCAGCTGGATCTAGTGCATATACTTAAATCCAAGGACTTTATTTTGTGAAAAGAAAATACCTTTCTCTGGAAAGCCGATGCATCATTTGCACCTTTAGGAGATTCACTGCACGGCAGATACAATCCCACAAAAAAAAAACATTAACAATAGTCCGGAGAACTAGCTGCGTCCCAATCATAGACTATCATCTAGTCAATAAATCACCTATCTGAAGCGAAATACAAAAAAATACGATACAATGCACCAAAGAGTCCTAAAAAAACTACGATTCAAGATAAAGTAATGCAAGTAGATAGGTCGTTTAAACAACAAGAGTCAAGTACCATCTCAATATTAAGAGAGAGTGAGAAAGGAATCAAAGTTACACTACACACCTTTCTCTCCACTTGAGTAAAGCTTCTATAAGAGGAACAGGTGTGTGACGAGCAATCATCGCCAATGAATCAAGCACCTGCTCATACGCAGGATCTGATGGACGAAGATACTGTCCATTCTGCAAAACATCACCACACACAATAAGCAAATCAAATAACTACCAAAGAAACGTACATTATACTCTCTACGAATTGCATTTTCCTCCACACCTTACTCAGATACTAAGCTTAAGCACTAAAAAAAAATCAAAAACAGCTAAAGAACACGCAGATTCCTTCCAAAGGAGACGACGAACCTGAGCCTGAGCAGTATCGATTCGTTGCCTTGCGAGAGGGAGAAACCGTTGAAGCAGCGCCTCTACTATCAATTTCGCAGCACTCCCTGATTTCATCACTTTCGAGGGAATCAAACTGGGATACTACGAGGTTGAATTGAAATCTCTGTGAAATTGCGAGAATCGAAGTGGCGATACTAACGAAGGAAGAGGAATTACGAATCACGAAACCATTTTTCTAGGGCTCAATTCGAGACGCGGCAAAGAGAATCGCGTAGAGATTTTCTTTGATCCATGTCAAGAGCTTTGTCTCTCTCTCTCTCTCTCCCTCGCTTAGAAATCGCTTTTAAATAGTTTTACACGACCGGAATTGAATAATCATCATGCACGACGGAGGAAAGGCCTCTACTATGGCCCATTATATCTTTACTAAACAAAAAGGCCTCTAATACGGGCCCATTATCAGCCCAAGTGGTTAATATATGATTAGTATTGTTACCAAATATATAAATTTCAAAATAATATTACAAAAAATGTTAGAAAACATATATATTTATAAATTATTTTATATTTTAAAAATAAACGCATCTGCGCATGTTCAAATCTAGTTTTTTTTTAATTCTATTATTTGACCATTTCAAATTTTCAGACAACCTTTTAGTGGTACCCAATTATTTCTCACACACAAACAAAAGTGGAACCCAATTACAATCCAAGATATAATAAACTTGCAGTAGAATATAAGATTCGGATTTTTTTTTGTATGAATTGTTTTTGTATCTTTTTTTCAAATAATATCAGTTAGATTTATATCTATGTATTACTATCTTCTAAACTAAAATCTGGTTTTATTCATACGTCTCCGTCCACTAATCCCCTATATATTAATTGAGAAACATACGAAAAGATGTAACCTCAAGTTTGTATTAATTAAAAAGTAACCTTGCTTAGTTGTCAATCAATTAGCATATCAATTAAACTGACGTGGCGGCTTTAGGTTCAATTGAAATTTGCTAGGGAAAAATAATTAGAGACGCATATAACGCATGTAACATAGTTTATATATTTATATATATCGCATGCATGTAATGGAAGAAAAGGAAAATATACGATTTGATAACGATTTGCATATATTAACTATAATAACTTCATTCCTTTTAATTTATGGAAGTGTATATGTAAAATGGAAAATACTTAAATTCAAATAATCATAACGTAATTTATAAATCATTGGTGTAAAGTTTTGTTACACAAATATGCAAATAATCATAAAATCATAT